TCCGTCCAACCTTCCGGGCTATTTAAGAGAAGAAGGGGCCATCTAACTGTTAACAAAACAAAAGAGAACAATAAGAGTTCATTCCGTAACAATACAATAAGGGGCCATGGCCCTCTATTAAACAAAAAAATATAACAAAAGAAATAGCCCTTTAGTCCATTTAAGTGGCACATCCGTCCGTCCATTCTCTTTTTGTGTAGCACGTAGCTAAAAAGTGATTGACCTAGAGTCATGAAACCTTACAGGAATGTTGATCAGCATGTGTAATTGTGCACCTGGGTATTTTTGTGTGGATATATTTAGTATTTTTAGAGTTATTGCCCTTGACTAAGTAAAAATTTGCAATTTTCAACTTGTGTCGCAAGTAACTCGAAAACTATTTGACCTAGAGTCATGAAACCTTACTGGAATGTTGATTAGCATGTGTAGTTGTGACCTTAGTATTTTTGTGTGGATATATTTAGTTTTTTAGAGTTATTGCCCTTGAATTAGTAAAAAATTCCAATTTTCAACTTGTGTCGCACATAACTAAAAAAGTATTTGACCTAACGTCATGAAACCTTACAAGAATGTTACTCAGCATGTGTAGTTGTGCACCTTTGTTTTTTCGTGTGGATATGTTTAGTATTTTTAGAGTTATTGCCCTTGACTTAGTAAAAATTTACAATATTCAACTTGTGTCGCACGTAACTCAAAAAGTATTTGACCTGTAGGCCTGAAAGTTTACAAGAATGTTGGTCAGTATGTGTACTTATGCACCCTGGGGTTTTCTTGTGGATTTATTCAGTATTTGTAGTATTTGCCCTTAACTTAATGAAAGATCTTCACTGTTGGTCTTTAAGAATCTTTATAAAATACAACAACTGCTTACTTACAGCCTGTTGAATTCAAATTCAAAAATTTCAGACAATTAGATACTAAAGTTTTGCCACTGTTACGATTCTTAATAGAAGTCCCCTCGTTCAAATGCAACGGTCTTACAGAAAGAACTTGGCTTGCGTTCCCTTGAACATCATGGACTAGACAATGTTGGCCTATGATGTTTAATATAATATACCATAATACAGGTGCAATTTATCTCCCACCTTGTCTAAGCCCAACAATTAGCTATAGGTTAACCAGACAAAAGCGTCCCTTACTCCTAAGTTTAATACAGGTTTACTCCAACTGCCATAAGTCTACTCGATTTTCATCTACCAAAGCATTGTACTTAAGAAATAATATATCCCAAACTGTGATTTTATTGCATGCCCGAGTGATATAATGATGCACATCCGGACAACAAACAGTGATTTTATCAAGCTATAAAATCACTGATTTGGATATATTATTTCGATTCTAAACATGACATCAACAAATGAATGCTGCCGTATTTGATATTAAGCTAAATTATGCCTGATTTGTTTCTGTACTTATTGTCAATTCGTCACATTTTTAGTGGTTATGTCACGTGTATAATGATTACATTACATGTCTAAATATAGAACTCAAACAGTGATAACACACACTTTCAGTTCTTCTATGTTCAATAGAGAAAAATGTGGGTCATGTTAGAATATGGAATAAACTCTCCTTTGGTCAGTTCAAGTGAACAGTGGTATAGGCTAGTAGGGTTGCTGTTACAGTCTTGCCCCATGTATTTTAAACTATTTTATCCTCTGACTCCTACCCTAACTAACACTTTAACAATCAATAAATAGTTTAATAGACTTGTACCTTAATATGGTATAAAGGTAATACAATAAAAAAAAATTATTGTATTGATATACTTTATTTCAAACATTTTAAATATAATATATAACTTTTGATATTGTATAAAGGTAACACAATTAAACGAAATTGTTGTATTGATATACTTTTTTCCAAACATTTTCAACATAATAGATCTATATATAAAAAAGAAGCAAATACAAACTTTTAGTAAATGACCTGTAAATATGTTTAAATAAATAGTCATACAAAGTATATGATACCATGGCAATATTGACATAGTAATTCTAAGTGTTTTTTTTCCTCAATATTCCTTGACATAAATCCAGCTGAAATGGTATTTATTCTAAATGCCCGCTTACATGTTTTATAAGATAACTCTTTGCTCGGAATGTACGGTCACATAAATCACATTTAAATTTGCCTCCCTTTGCTGCGTGTACATGTGTTTTTAAATGCCTTGTAAGATTAGAGCTGATACTAAAAGAGAAGTCACAAATATTGCATTTATATGGCTTTTCTCCTGTATGGATTCTCATGTGTCTTACAAGATTTGGTTCAAAACGAAATGATGCATCACAAATATTACATTTATACGGCATTTCTCCTGTATGAATTATTTTATGTTTAGTAAGATAGCCCTTGTCTCTAAACACACTATCACATATACTACATTTAAATTGTTTTTCTCCAGTATGTATCCTCTTATGTCTTTTAAGATTAGTTCTATGACTGAATGACTTGTCACAAACATCACATTTAAAAGGCTTCTCTCCAGTATGTGTTCTTTTATGATTTGTAAGATATTTATTAGAACTGAACGAACTGCCACAAAAATTGCATCTGAACGGTTTATTTCCTGTGTGTACACTCATATGTGCCTTAAGATCATTCTTTTCTCTAAATGCATGATCACAAATACCACATTTAAATGTTTTTACATCTGTATGTGCTGCCTGATGTCTTGTAAGATATTGTTTGGAAACAAATGACATTTCACATACATCACATTTAAAAAGTTTTTCTCCTACATGCACTTCTGTCATATGCCTCCGCAGAGAATTTTTAGTCTTTAAGGAAATGTTACAAACGTCACATAAGAATGATTTTTCTTCTGTATGTACTGTCATATGTGACTTAAGGTCACTTTTTTCTCTGAATGTCTTATCACATACATCACACTTAAATGGTTTTTTCCCAATATGTTTTCGTTGATGTCTTTTAAGATTAGTATTCAAGGAAAATGACATGTCACAAACGGCACATTTGTAAGGTTTTTCTCCAGTATGAATCCTCATATGTGCCTTACAGTCACCACTAAGCCTGAATGTGCTATCACATGCTTTGCACTTGAATGGTTTCTCCCCTGTATGTAATCTCTCATGTCTTTCTAGTTCACATTGATAATTAAAGGAATTGTCGCAATTATCACATTTGAATGGTTTATCTCCAGTATGTATTCTCATATGTATCTGAAGATTATATACACGACTGAATGTTTTATCACATATATCACATTTAGACATGTTTCGTTCTAATTCCTCTAACTGCTTATTTTGATATTCAGTTAATTTCCTATGCATTCATCTTGATGGTGAATTTCAAATTTCCTAAAGTTGAACATCCACACTGAAAATAAATAGATTGTTTAGAAAAGAAGAGATCGAGGAAAAATCAAAGTGCTGCAGCACTGAATGCGACGGACATGCAACCGGAGAGACATTAATTAAGGCTTCTTTTAGAAAAAAAAAACAAAACAAAACACAAAATATATAACAGAGAAAATTTGTTCCATACAAGTTCGAGATTTGTAGAGCAATATATTTTGTGTCCCAAATTGATATAATTCAGATTTTCTACTTTCAAGCACTTAAATACGGAATGAAATTTATGCCTAAAAACTCTGGTCAAACTTGTAAATCAGTGTCCTTATCGATTTATTCTAAGAAATGATATGTAAATAGAAAAAAAAACTATCAACGAAATATTTCTAGAATAAATCCAGGCAGATAAACTTCAAACATAATACATTATACATTTGAGAATGCTATTTAGAATTGCTTCGTGTTATATCATAGTGGGCATACAGACAATAAAATATAAGTCATTTGTATTTTTATTTCTCTTGGATATGTCTCATTAAAAAAAAAAATGGTTAAAATCATCAGCAATTAATAGTGTATTTCTTAGATTTTTTTTGTTTACAAGGTAAAGATGTAGAGGCCAGAGCACATCGTTTTTATTTTAATTTAAATGTCACTTAAGCACTACAGTGTTTAGTTTTCCTTTTCGACTTCACACTAAATTCCATTTTCAACTTGTTTGCTTCTTACAATTGTATAGCATTTCTAAAAGTATTGCATTACAATCCGCTGGTTTATTAATTACATGTTTAATGTGTACTTCCTAATCGCCTGTCCAAAAATCAGAACAGGTAAAGCAGAATCTATTTTTAGAATAGCGAAGGTTAACTGATATCATGACCTAGTAAAATATGTAAACAAACCACAAGAATCGGAAGTAGAACTGATATTATAACTTCCTTACCATGAAAGACTACATGGCGGTAAAGTGTCTTACATGCATTTTCAAAAATAGATATTTATACTAGCCATTGTACTGTATCTAATATATTAATAACTGCTGAATATTCAGCTAAACCCGCGGTATGAGTCACGAAAATAGTTCTTCTTTTATTAATGCGCGAGTTATCCTAGAGTCACGAAAAACTTTTGATTTGTTAATAAAAATGTTTTGTATAATGTAGAAATATTTATTTCCTACTAATAATGTCTTGGAACTCAGAGGTTACACCTTTATTGAAGTATAATTTGCTGTCCTACTTTTTCGACAGCGGTAAATCGTTTCAGCAGTAATTTGCATATTGCGCAATAATACTACGGGACTACAACGTTTTTATCAATAATATATGTTCATATTTTAACTTGGATAACTTAATTTGAAATTGAAAAGGCTAAATATGGAAGACATTAAGATATCCAGACAAAGTATGGGAGTTTTGAAGAGTCAAATTCATGTACTATTTCTTGGGCTGTTAATTGGTTTAGGACACATTGCGCGAGTGTAGCCAACGAAATCCCATGTGTAGATGACTTAGCTCTGAACGCGCCTGAGGGCGCGTCCGTCGCAAAAAAACAAAAAAAAACATATATATTTAATGTATGCAAATTACAAGTTTAAAATAACGAGTAATATTCGGCATCTCCTGTCCGCCACCAACGGTGCACTAGTGGCATTGATTTGAAGTTAAACTATAAATAACAAGGCCACAAGCACAGGTCTTTTCCCGCCACTGATATGACTTTTGTATAACAAAGTTAGATACAAACCAGTGCATTTTATAAATGATAAAAGTGGCCGTTTTAGCTATATGATAATGCATTCAAAACACGATTAGGCATATTCTATTAAATTAACAAAAAATAGTATCATGATAATAAACTTACCTTTTAAAATGTAAACCTCAAGTAGATCTAACACGATGAAAGTATATAAAAGCGAACACACCTGTACTGTAACTGTCCTAAAAAGATAATAAATTTTCATGATTGATTGCACGGACAGGATATATAAATTTAACTCCATTCAACCCATTGGGTGTTCATCTTTCAAAGTGAGGTTACTGTTGTATGACGGACAGAGCATCATGATCAAGAAAGTATGTACCATAAAACACTGCGTTAAATTTTGTTTTCATTTATCCACGGTACTGTACAGGATCATAATGGACATAAGTCGTGCAAATTTTGTATTACAAGTCTGATAATAAGATATTTTAAATCGACTACTCCAATAATATTGAAATATCCCGATAGTGAATAAGTTACTATAAAGTTGTCGCCCTTTATTATATATTCGCCACGATCTAGAAAATAGAACTGTACACAGTATGCAATTAATTATTAGAACGAAACAGACTTGTTTGGGTTTTAAAACAATGGAGACAGGTATAACATTAAATAGAGTGATTGTTAACTATGCTTATTTACTCACGACTTTACTGGTATGCGAGCAGTGCTTGCTACTAAAAATTAAAATCGTAAAACTTTACCTGTTCACTAAAATAAACTGTAAAACACCTATTCTCACAAGATAGGCCCAAGTTTGAAATTTGAGTGTCTCTTGACAAAAGTTAAAACATATACAATTATACAGTTGAGTTTTGTTATTTTTTCAACATAACATGGTTCCTTCTTTTAAATCATATTCACAATAGATGTCAGAAACTGGTATTTAGAAAAAGAAATGAACAAATGATATCAATTTAAACAGTGTTAAAAGAAAAATACGCTGTCTCTGTAAAGGGTTACATGATTTAACACACAAGTGCTGCATCAATTTGTTAAAAACTGAACATATCTTTTTAATTTTTGTTTCACGACATGTTGAAGTTTGAAAATTAAAAGAATTTCTGAGTGAAGCTCTTTGCATTATTCGTTATAAAACAAAACTCTCTTGTCTCCAAATCGAATGTAATCTACGTTACTTAGTTTGCGCACCAAAAATATACAGGCAATAAACACATTAAAAGGTGTTTAAACAGATGAAAATACTAACGAAACATAGTATAAACAATAGGCGATACAATGATTAACTCATTTAATAAAAAAAACATTACACCAGAAACACAAACTTTATATTTGTAAAGTAAATTTAAGAATGTAATCTACGTTACTGCTATTACTCAAATATTGTGACATAGGGTGCTCTTTATAGACTATTATCAATTAGATTACTCAATTTTTTACTTATCTATTTTACTTACCAAAAGATTTTGTTCATAAAGTTTTTTATCATAACAGATCTACACAGATACATGTATGTTATCTGTGTTATACCAGATCATCTAAGATTTTATAAAGGTGTAACAAATGTGATACCAATGTTGGTAACGTAGATTACAAAAATATCAACTTGTGATATCTGCAACACCAATAAGTAGTTCTTCTCCAAATATTTGACATGTTCCTATATTGTAGATCATTATATGGTAGTTTAATGTAATAACTCTGTTTGTTCCTGGAGAAAAAACTGTAATTTAGGCATAAATAAATGGTTTCTAAAAATGGTAACGTTGATTACAAAATAAGTAACGTAGATTACTTTTTCTTTGTTTCAGCAAGCATGGGTATATCATAGGCTGTAATAAAGCGAGCCTTTTGTGGGAGGAAAAAATCAACATAAGGAGTAAAATAACTTGAAAAAAGAACGAAAAAGAACAAAATCATACTGAGCAACAACAGTGAAAAGATAAAGGGGGGGGGGGGGGGCTTTAGCGACCAGAACATAGAATGTCAGAAAAAATGTCCAGAAATTGACACATAATGAAAGAGCTTGAGACTCAAATACAAGTTAATGCATTAATTGGTCTGGTTGTGTTCAAGATGAAGACAGACTGATTGTCGATAATGAAAATGGTGTACGTTCAAGCACCCGTAAACACGAAAATAGTAGTTCGGCACATTGGTACCTGGGACTGATTGAAGAGGTTGTCATAGCTGATGACGATTTTCTTGTTTCATACTAGCAAAATCGAAAATGTAAAGGGGTCAAAGCACCAACTTTTAATTGGCCAAACAATGCCGACAAGATTTGTGTCAAGTTAGAAGACGGTTTTTCTGGCATAGATGAGTCATCCAAAGTTAGTTGTTATGTGCGCTTTTTCAGGTTAAAAGAGGACGAGATAAGATAAATTTAAAGCGCGACATTCAGCTTTCATTTTTGTTCGAAAATTTTTTTTTCAAATTAAGTATTTTATCTTAGAAAAGTTCACCATATCAATGTAAGGAAAGGACTACTTTAAAACAGTGTCTAAAGATTTATTTAATTTTATAGAATGCCGGTGATGTTTGTTTCTAAAAATAGAAAATCGGAAAACGAATCACACGCTTTACTAATATGCAATTAGATAGCGGACATGTAGATTAGAGGAATCCAGGAGTTTAATTTTATTGAGTCTGTAATTTATGATGGCAAATATAATTTTCAACCATATTTTTTTTTTATTTGACTTTTATATAAAACCTTCAGAAAAACAGAAGGCCGCTTTAAATAAATGATTTCAAACATTTTCAAGCCGTTGTTTTTTTGTGGTTTTTTTTTTAAACTTTAAATAAACATCATGCTTAAAAATTAAAAAGATTTTCTTATGCGTTTGATCAGACTTTTCTATTTCAATTTATGAATTAATTTATTTTCTTTTGCAATAGCTCTGACATCAACATTTTATTGTTTGACATGTTCAAACATATATAAAAATCCTTGAATATAAGGTAATCTACGTTACCATAACTGGTATTTTCTTTGTTTTTGTTCATTTGTTATTTTTGGTCTGAAAGTAACAGCTTTAAACCAAGTCATAGACTTTGTAATAGTTTATAATTTTTTTATATATATGATAAAAACGATAATGTCTTAATGGCATTCACGAGGTATTTTACGGCCTTAAGCTATTAGTTTCTTAAAGAAATGGATAAATGAATATGTTTGAGCATAAACCTTTCATAAATTTATCTCAGTAGACGAACTTATTACTGATAATTACATCTAAGATTATTCAAAAGCAATAAAAATGAAACATAGCTGTCATTTTATCTTTAATCAAGTTTTATTTTTGCTGTTGCCCAGTTAAAGGTGATACTTTGTAATTTACGTTACCATTTCCTAGTTATGTTTGTATTGGTTAATGCTGCATACAAAATATATTTTAAAGTCAAATACTGTTGTATGTTAACATTTGGTGCTTATAATTCATAATAAAATCAACTAAATAAGTATAACAATGAGTTTGTTTATGTAGGTATTATTACAAATGATCATATTTTCCAGAAATATTCAACCCAACATAAATAAAAAAGTTAAAGCTTTGTGTACGGTTTTATTAAAACCTGTGCATAAAATATGTAATGTTACTTTGGCAAATTATTTATCGAAGTGACTATCTGTATCAAGTGCATTTATAGAATATATCAAAATATCTTTAATATGACCATTGGTTTATTTTTAGTTAAGGTAACGTAAATTACATTTTGCAAAAGTACTCAATTTGTTTCAGTGGCTGTTCTACAGATAATAATCGAGTTTGAGTGCTGTAACTTTCCCAATTTGTCAGACACATATCTCTTTAACCATCTATGTAATACAACTTTGATAAAAACAAGTTCATTTTTTAACATTTTGTCAATTTAAGTTGGGCCTATCTTGTGAGAATAGGTGAAAAAATTATTTTGCCTTTATTTTTTATTATATTCTACGCTCACTCACCAAAAATTTATTGTGGACATCAATATTCTGCTTTTCACACAAATTATGGAAATTCAATTATGATCTTAAGTTCTTAACATAGAATAACACTTGAGTTATGAGGCTTGATACAGAATACCGAAATTATCCATTATTTTGTATCTATCTATCTATCTTCCATATAGTCAAACCCCTGCTGGGGACCTAGACTTGACGCGCGTCAACTGACAAGAATGTTAGTAAAAGAGTTGAAATAAAAGAATATAAAAGTAAAGGAAATGAGTATATTGTTAAAAACAGGTTAAAAACAGAAAAGGTATTTTTAGGGAGACGTATGTTCAATCCGGCTTACAGCCAGACTGAACTCGGGGCCAGACAAGTTTATGATTTCAGGTGGTAAAGCATTCCAGTGGACAATTGTTCTTGGGAAAAATGAATATTTATAGTAATCAGTTTTAGTTTGGACTTGTTGGAATGCATGGAGATGGGATGTTCTAGATGATCTTGTAAGAGGGACGATATACTTTGGGAAAGGAATAGCCACCTGGTCATGCAGGATGTTGTGAAACATGACCAGGCGTTGGTCAATACGCCGAAGGTCAAGGCGCCTCAATTGAAGGGTAGTCAACATGTCAGTGACACTTGACATACGGCCAAAGTCATGTTTGACCCACCTAGCAGCCCTTCTCTGGACTGACTCTATCTGGTCAATGAGAGTTCCTGTGTAGGGGGACCAGACCGCGGAGCTGTACTCAAGCTGGGGTCTGACAAGTGTCTTGTATGCGGTTGACTTTAACCTTTCTGAGTGAACCTTGATGTTTCGGCGTAGAAAACCAAGTGTTTGATTCGCCTTTGTTGTGATGTTGTTTATGTGTTTGTTCCATGTTAAATCATTTGATATTGTAATGCCAAGGTATTTTGCAGATGGAACTGTTTCTAATGCGGTGTTATGTAGGAGGTATTTTGTTGGAATGACTGTTTTTCGTTTTGTGATTTGGATAACCTGGCATTTTGATGGATTAAATTGCATGTCCCATTTTGTTTCCCATTGTTCAAGTTGGTGTAAGTCATGTTGAAGTAAGCTAGAATGAGAAGCGACAGTCAGAGATAGATAGATGGCTGTGTCATCAGCAAATAGGCGGACCTTAGAGGATTGGACATATTCAGGAAGGTCATTTATGTATATAAGAAATAAGAGAGGTCCGAGGACCGAGCCCTGGGGAACACCGGAGGAGACTGGTATGGAGCTGGATGTGGAGCCATTTACCACCACGGACTGTGACGTGTTATCAAGAAAACCTTTGATCCATTTCAGAGTCTGACCCCTTATACTGTAGAAATGCAGCTTATACAGGAGTTTTTCATGGTTGACCATATCAAAGGCCTTAGAGAAGTCAAGAAGGATTAAGTCTACTTGGCTTCTCTGATTTACTGACTGTAGGATATCATCTATAAGCATTAATAATTGGGATTGACATGACCTTTTTTCTCGGAAACCATGCTGCAATTCATAGAACAAGTTTGATCTAGTAAAGTGCTTTGTTATACTGGAGGAGACAATGTGTTCCAGGGTTTTACACAAGATACAGGTAAGAGAGATAGGGCGATAGTTGGCTGGGTCTGACTTGCTACCTTTTTTAAAGACAGGGGCGACATTTGCCATTTTCCAGATGTCTGGTAGAGTGCTGGACTGCAGTGATTTCTGGAAAAGTTTGGACACTATAGGGGCTAATTCTTTACTGGTATTTTTGAGCACAATGGGTCTAATTTGATCAGGTCCTGCAGCCTTATGGGGGTTGAGGTTTTTTAAAAGCTTCTCAACACCTTTTACAGAGATATCAATATCACGCATGGGGTTATGGGGGCTAAATGGTGTGTGGGGAACCTCTCTACCTGTATCTGCCTGATCCTGTACCTTCATATCAGCAAGGAATTTAAGAGAAACAGGGGATTTAGAAGTGAAAACTGATTGAAATTGTTCATTTAGTACTGTTGCCTTGTCTTGATCTGATGTATACAGTTTATTGTGTTTTTTCAGTGAGTCAATGTCAAAAGAATCTTGTTTTGAATGTTTTAATAGTGAATATAGCTTTTTGGTGTTTGGTCTGGTTTGTGTTTGTTCATGTTCTTGAGAGATGTTGTTGTTAATGTTTAGTATATCTTCTAAGTAATTTTGATAGGCTAACTTAGTTTCTTTTCTGCAGAGATGTTTAATACTGAGATATTTTTCTCTAGATTTATTTGAGTTATGGCTCTTGTACTGCTTGTAGGCTTTGTCCCTTTTCCTGTATAAACGTTTGAGGTTAACCTTGATCCAGGGGAGTTTATTTTTGGAGAATGACCATTTTGATGGGATGAAAGTATTGACCCCTTCCTCAATTGAGCTGGATATTGTTTGCCATAACTCTTCCACTGATTTGTTGGAATAACTTTTTGACCTGGTAAGAGAATCATGAAGGTTGGACATATGTAACCTAAGACCGTCCCAGTCTGCCTTATTATATAAGTGGATCTTACGTGGTTTTTGGAGCTTTATACGGGCGGAGGTATTTGTGTCGACCAGGACAGCATCGTGATCACTGATACCTGGGATTACGTTGGCTCTGTTTACAATGGAGGGGTTATTTGTTAGGAACAGATCTAAGATATGGTTTTCTCGGGTTGGGTCTTTGACTACTTGAGTAAGGTTATTATCAAAAAGAATGTTAATAAAAATCTCTATAGTGTGACTGAAGTTTGCAGTCTGAGGTTGGAGTAATATTTGACCAATCAAGTTTTGGCATGTTGAAGTCCCCGCCTACCCATACTGTTGCATTTGACTTTGTAGCCATGGATAGAGATTTATTGAACTCATCCAGGCTATAGGGGTCATTTTCTTTAGGTTTGTAGTAAGAACCTACAAGCAGTGGTTTGGAACCTTGCATTTCTATTTTGACCCATATATTTTCACAATCAGTTTGGAGGTTGGTAGCTTCTTGTGCTATAATGCAGTTTTTAACAGCAATAAATACTCCTGTATGAAGAGAAGTACACATACATAAAATTTGTCCAATTCTGATTAGACATTGTTGTTATATCAGAACTATTTTCATTTATAAGTGTTAAACAGAGCATTTTTCCAGTGGTAAATAGATGTCATTCAGGATATAGAGCATAGACTAAACGCTGATATCTATTATAATGACGGTACTGTTACCTAACACACTCATATGCAATGGCGTGCTTGAATGCTAGTCTCAATATTTTGACTGCAAGACTGACCGACTTTACAAACTGATATTACACAGACTGCGACCATCGTCTATATAATAAAAAGCTCTAAAGGGCACAATTATTTGGGTTAGCTTGTATGTATGATATTAAACTCATAGTACTATAGGTCAAAATTCTGATAATTAAACAGGTTTTTATTGCTTTGCCTAATTATCTGTACACAGGTGGTATAAGTGAAAAACCTTTAACAGGATCATATGTAAGTATTTTTGATCATGCACGCAAGGAGGGTATCCCCCAATGTTTACAAAGTCATGTCTTGACAACTCACAGACCAGTGAAAGTGATTTAAATGAAAACTTTTTATACATACAACCACCACTGACACTTAGATTTTGTTTCGTTCATACTTACATTTGCTTGAATTAATATCAATTTTTTAAGATTGCAAGTCAAAATGAAGCGTTTAAACGTAAAAATATGGGTACTGCTTCTGTAGTGGAACTGCTCACATGCCTGTAATTAAAGTCATGATTTACTATATTATACAGTGTGTATTCTAGAAATTCAATAATAGGGGTCAATTATTCCTGATAGAAATACTGGGGAAGAGGATGGGGGGGGGGGGGGTTGGGCAATTCAAGAAGAAGGGGTGCCAATATAAAGTGTAATTGCATAAAATTTTATGTTGTTTATATTTAACCAGGATTTGTATGTAAGAAAATGAAAGGTTAAGGTAGATTTTTTTTTTTTTTGAGCGTCGGCATATGACCTATACTGTCTTGGTGTAAGGTAAAACACAATCAAACAAACAAACCAAATGAAATTATAACTAACATTATACAATCTCTAATTGAATACATTACCTTTCACATTTAAATACATGCATATACATTTAATGCATTTTAAAAGTTTAATGATGATGTTTTATTTCTATTTTCAGTCAGAGAACATTAATGGACACAGTGACATTATCGTAAAGAACTCTGATTTGGATTTCAAGTGTTGTTATCAACTGTACATGGTATTAAGGTTTCTTAGTTGATGATTTTGTAAATGATAAAAAAATAAATTATGTTGTGTATTTTTATGTGACAGTGAGTATTTTTATGTGACAGTCATGCTAAAAATAGATAGTTTTAAAGTACAGTCAGGACTCAATACATCGGAATCCATTATACTGACATAATTCGAATAACGACAGTGGATTGGTGGGAACAAAATTTTGTCAACGTTATTATAATCCTTTATAACGGAAAATTCGTATTCCGACTCCGACACAATAAAATTGGAAACCAAACATGTTATTTTCTATACAATCAGTACCCGTTAAACTGACACTTGGTTAGTCAAGCGCGCGTATAAAACAAAACCGTAAGGTGTTAAAACAGGTATTGTAGCTTGGTCAGTTGATTGTAACACCTTATTACAATAACAACGTGTTGTTGTCAGTTGAATTCAACTTATGGCAACAAACAGCGTGCATCAATTTTCAAAGGTTTAACTTTTAAAAGTCCTATCATTGTATGTGCTTTTTACTTTATAAAGTTTTATCATTTTCATAAAAATCTTTAACTATTTAAGTTGTTATTATTTTAATGAAGTAGTTGTATTATGTGTATGATATGTAATGAAGTGAACACATAAACACAAAAATCTTTTTCATTAGATGTTTATTTTAGTGAATAAGCATATCATTACATGATGAATGATGAAATTCACTATACTGACAAATTCGATATAACTGACATATCCTTTGGGAACCAACAGTGTCGTTGTAATGAGTCCTGACTGTACCAATATTTTGTCTTATATTAGTTGATATAATGATCATATAGATTAGACAAAATTAAAGTGTGTTATTACTTAATTTTGTGGCAACGGAACCCATTCTAAGCAGACTGTTAATTTTGTTTCAGGTTTCCTAGGAATATACAATCACAAAAGATCAGTCTGGAAAAAGGATATAAACTACAATGAACTTACAGATACTCAAATAGAAACAGATTGTTGGCGTCCACGCCGAAGCAGTACGCCCTTATGGAATGAAATCAGATTTTGTGAAAGGGCTATTGCAACTTCTCCAGCCTTTTCGTCAACCATAATAGCCGAACATTCTGATTGGTATGAGTGTTTGATTATCAAAGATATGTAAAATGAATAGCGAACTGGAAAATTTCGCAATGTAAACATATTCAAATGAAATGATCTTATGATACTTTGGAAGACATTTGAAAGTTCCCACTAGCGAAGGAAGAAATTCATTTGTGTTTCTATGTATAATGGATATTTTTCTCAAGAAAGCATATCATGGAAATGCACAGTCGTGGAAAGAATTTTGAGTGCAGTATCTGCAAAAAAGCATTTTCTTTCAAGAGTTCTATGAAAAGGCACTTGCATGTTCATGAGAAGACTTTAAAATGTGATGTATGTGAGAAAGCATTTTATTCAAAGAATAATCTAGATGTTCATATGGTAATTCATTATAAGGAAAAGATCCATAAATGTGATATTTGTGAAAAGGTTTTTGATTTAAAGGGTAGTTTAAAAAGGCATATGATAGTGCATACAGGTGAGAGGAAATTTAAATGTAACATTTGTGACCAAGCACTAGTTTCCAAGCATGGTTTGAATACACATATGTTGATACATACGGGTGAGAAAAACTATATCTGCAGTGTGTGTGAAAGGTCATTTTCTTTAAAATGCAGTTTGATAGGACATATGAGAATACACACTGGTGAGAAAAGATTTTTTTGTAGTGAATGTGATAGAGCGTTTCTTTATAAGATTTCTTGGTTGCGACATATAAAAACACACACACACACTGATGAAATGAATGTATAGCAAATTTGATGTGATTAATGTTCATAGATTATTAATAAACTTTAGAAAATAAATTATTGTACATAAAAAATGTGATGCTATTAATGTTCATAAATTAGAAATAAGCTTTCGGAAATAAATAATTGTTGCATTTGTAAGCATTGTTATTTATTGATAAATACAAGAAATATGATAAATGTTGTGTGTGCGAAAGGTTTTGTTTCAATTTACTGATATATATGAGCCACTCAATAACAAAACCAACGTAATACGTTTGCGACCAGCATGGATCCAGACCAGCCTGTGCATCCGCGCAGTCTGATCAGGATCCATGCTGTTCGCTATCAGTTTCTCTACTTGTTATAGGGTTTGTAAGCGAACAGCATGGATCCTGATCAGACTGCGCAGATCCATGCTGGTCACAAACGCATTGCGTTGGTTTTGTCATGGCACAGCTCATATAGTCTTATGCCACAAAAACATGCAAAATGGGTGATATTGAAATGCAGTTTTACATACAGTTGAGGTCACACTAAATGCCCTAATCTTGTACCACACATTACAGCTAGAAGTGTACTAGACCAAATTGTGACCAGGTTAGAGTGCGCTTTATGTTTAATGGCATTGCAGTAAATCAGGGGATAAACTGTTATAGGTGAAATTTAAAAAGATTTCTTTTCCAATATATTTATTATATAAATATAAAATCATCAGTTTGTACATTTGAGTAAGATGACTAAGATATTATTAAGAAATATTGATTTGAAACTGTAAATATTTTTCTCATAGTTCTGTAGAATACATAGTAACTCCCCTTGTACATTCTGATTTTCTTTTGCAATTTCCGTGGTATACATGACTATATCGTACACTTCTTTTATAAAATGTGTGAAAATTTATTCAGTTTTCAATTGTGGGCTATTTATATATTGAGAAACGGAACAGAACAAATATTTGGGCTACACACGGGGCACAGCAATTTTTTTATGCCCCCGGGCATATAGTAATTGAACCGTCTGTCTGTCCGTCCGTACGAAGTTAACCTAGAACGGCAAGTTGGATTTTTCTTAAGTTCTACCTGTACCAATGGCTTCATAATTTACACACTTACTAATCCATACAAAGTATATGATCTGGGCAAGTTACATAACTATGGCTTCCATTTGCACCAAGTTATGGCCCTTTTCAGCACTTAGAAAATAAATAATGGTTAACCTAAACCGGCAAGTTGGAAATATCTTATGTTCTATCTGAACTAATGTCTTAATAATTTTCACACTTACTTATCAATACAATGTACATGATATTGCCAAGTTATATAAATGTTCTATCCATTTTCCCAGTAATTTCCATTTTTATCACTTTGAAAATAGGGCCTTGTATGGTTAACCTATTCAGCCAAGTTGGATTTATCAAAAAATTTCACCTAATTACTTAATTTATTTAATGATATCTTTCATATTTGGTAGGTGGATACCTTTAACGGTCCTCTAATTTTTTGTGGCATTAGGCGTCTCTAGGGTAAGGTAAAGGTCACTTGTGTAAAAAAATAAATCTAAACATTTCTGCTCATACAGCCTTTATTTTTAAGTTAATGTCTTTCATATTTATAATAGTCATACCAAGGGAGGTCCTCTTCCTTTTCCTATAGTAAGGGGTCATTTGGGTCAAGGTCACCAATGTCAAAAATAGATTTTTTACACTTTTACAGGTGTATTAACCTTATTCTATCGACAGATGTCTTGTATATTTTGTAGGAACATGAAACTGAGGTATTCTCATTTGGATGGAGGTAGGGGTCAGTTGAGTCAAGGTCACCAGTGCTAAAAATAGATTTTTACATTTTTGCTCATACAGCCTTTATTTATTGACAGATTTGTATTATAATTGGTAGGAAGATAACTTAAAATGTACATGGTATTCTTCCTTTGGATTGAATTAGGCCTCAGTTGGGTCAAGGTCAACAGTGCTAAAAATAGATTTTTACACTTTTGCCCATACAGCCTTTATATATTGACAGATATATTTCATATTTGGTAGGAAAATAAGTTGCATGATATTCTTCCTTTGGATGGAGCTAGGGGTCAGTTGGGTCAAGGTCACCAGTGCTAAAAATATATTTTTTACACTTTAGCCCACACAGCCTTTATTAGCTCACATGAGCATGCACAGGGTGAGCTTTTAAGATCGATGATTGTCCGTCGTCAGTCAACCGTCTACATTTAGTTCGTTAACATTCTAGCAGTCGCATTTATTCCTCAATCATCATGAAACTTTGTCAGAATATCTGTCTCAATAATATCTCGGAGGAGTTCGATCATGGGTGACCTCCGATGAAAAACTAGGTCACAGGAGCTAAAAATAGAAAAAGCTTGTCAACACTCTAGTGGCTGCAGTTTTGATCCAAATATTCTGGAAATTTGTCAGGAAGGTTATTTTAATGATTTATAGGTCAAATTCGAAGATGGGTCATGTCCGGTCAAAAACTAGGTCACATATTCTAAAAATAGAAAAAGCTTGTTAACACTCTAGTGACTGCAGTTTTCATCCAAATTTTCTGGAAATTTGTCAGAAAGGTTGTTTTGATGATTTATAGGTCAAGTTTTAAGATGGGTCATCTCCGGTCAAAAACTAGGTCACAAGAGCTTAAAATAGAAAAAGCTTGTTAACACTCTAGTGGCTGCAGTTTTCATCCAAATATTCTGGAAATTTGTCAGGAAGGTTGTTTTGATGATTTCTAGGTCAAGTTTTAAGATGGGTCATCTCCGGTCAAAAACTAGGTCACAGGAGCTTAAAATAGAAAAAGCTTGTTAACACTAGTGGCTGCAGTTTTCATCCAAATATTCTGGAAATTTGTCAGGAAGGTTGTTTTGATGATTTATAGGTCAAGTTCGAAGATGGGTCATGTCCGGTCAAAAACTAGGTCACATATTCTAAAAATAGAAAAAGCTTGTTAACACTCTAGTGACCGGCGGCACGAAATACCCAAATATACCCAAATGCACCCAAATATACCCAAATATAGCAATATTTATTTTTGTTTGTATAAAATATAGATTATAATGAGAAATAAATAAATATTTATTACATATAACATGACTTAGCCTGCTATAATTTTCATTCATTCAGTTGAAATGGACAGTTACGATGTTGTAAGAAAATAAAGTTGTGACATTTGCTTATCTTAGTACTATATAGGTTCTTTATGAATGTACTTGCAATTTTAAATCAAGGTATGATATTTGTTGTTTACACTTACATTTTTAAGGTGTAATTTTGTTGAAATTTCATATCATATACAAGTGTCCATGTTATTTAAAAAAAATAGCTTTAATGGTGTACATATAGACTGTATTTTGGTTCAAAACACAATGATAGGGAAATGTATATTTGGGTATGGTTGATTATATCTTAGTGAAAATGTATATTGTATTCATGATAAAAACAGCACTTTTTTAGGATAAAACATTTATTTTTAGTATAATTGGGCAATATTTGGGTATATTTAGGCAATATTTGGGTATATTTGGGCAATATTTGGGTATATTTGGGTATTTCGTGCTGCCCCTAGTGACTGCAGTTTTCATCCAAATTTTCTGGAAATTTGTCAGAAAGGTTGTTTGGATGATATCTAAGTCAAGTTCAAAGATGAGTCATGTCCGATCAAAAACTAGGTCACAGGAGCTAAAAATTGAAAAGCTTAACACTCTAGTGGCTGCAGTTTTCATCCAAATATTCTGGAAATTTGTCAGGAAGGTTGTTTTGATGATATCTAAGTCAAGTTTGAAGATGGGTCATGTCTGGTCAAAAACTAGGTCACAGGAGCTAAAAATAGAAAAAAGCTTGTTAACACTCTAGTGGCTGCAGTTTTGTTTCAAATATTCTGGAAATTTGTCAGGAAGGTTGTTTTGATGATTTCTAGGTCAAGTTCAAAGATGGGTCGTCGCCGGTCAAAAACTAGGCCACAGGAGCTAAAAATAGAAAAAGCTTGTTAACACTCTAGTGGCTGCAGTTTTGATTCAATTATTCTGGAAATTTGTCAGGAAGGTTGTTTTGATGATTTCTAGGTCAAGATCAAAGATGGGTAATCTCCGGTCAAAAACTAGGCCACAGGAGTTAAAAATAGAAAAAAAGCTTGTAAACACTCTAGTGGCTGCAGTTTTGAACCAAATATTCTGGAAATTTGTCAGGAAGGTTGTTTTGATGATTTCTAGGTCAAGTTCGAAGATTGGTCATGTCTGGTCAAAAACTAGGTCACAGGAGCTAAAAATAGAAAAAAGCTTGTTAACACTCTAGTGGCTGCAGTTTTGTTTCAAATATTCTGGAAATTTGTCAGGAAGGTTGTTTTGATGATTTCTAGGTCAAGTTCAAAGATGGGTCGTCGCCGGTCAAAAACTAGGCCACAGGAGCTAAAAATAGAAAAAGCTTGTTAACACTCTAGTGGCTGCAGTTTTGATTCAATTATTCTGGAAATTTGTCAGGAAGGTTGTTTTGATGATTTCTAGGTCAAGATCAAAGATGGGTAATCTCCGGTCAAAAACTAGGCCACAGGAGCTAAAAATAGAAAAAAAGCTTGTAAACACTCTAGTGGCTGCAGTTTTGAACCAAATATTCTGGAAATTTGTCAGGAAGGTTGTTTTGATGATTTCTAGGTCAAGTTCGAAGATTGGTCATGTCCGGTCAAAAACTAGGTCACAGGAGCTAAAAATAGAAAAATCTTTTAACACTCTAGTGGCTGCAGTTTTGATCCAAATTACCTGGAAATTGGTCAGGAAGGTTGTTTTGATGTTTTCTAGGTCAAGTTTGAATATGGGTCGTCTCTGTAATGTAAAATTAGGTCACATTGCCCAAATATGGAAAAACCTTTTTAACACACTAGAGGCCACATGTTTGACTCAGTTGTCATCAAACTTTGCCAGGATGCTTGTCTTAAAGACATTGCTTGGATGCGGTTGATGGGTCAGGGGAGCGATCCAGGGCCATCATGGCCCTCTTGTTTTAAATATTGTTACTGACAAGAATCTGAGCCGGGGGATTTTGTGTTAAACAAACACGTTCTTGTTCACTAATATGTTTGCTAAATAACTGAACAGTTGAATAATCACTTCTAAATGGATATTATTTTGATAAAATCTTCGAGACTGCTGATCTACATGATC